ACTGACAGAGGCGGCCAAAAGGCTCACGTGGGTGGCAGGGCGGTGATAGGAGTCTCCCACTCTGTGGGCTTCGCTAGAGGTGCGGCCCCTGCGCGTGTCCTCGCCCTTGAAGGGGAAGGGGAAGGGGCTGTGTGTGTGTGTGTGTGTGTGTGTGTGTGTGTGTGTGTGTGTGTGTGTGTGTGTGTGTGTGTGTGTGTGTGTGTGTGTGTGTGTGTGTGTGTGTGTGTGTGTGTGTGTGTGTGTGTGTGTGTGTGTGTGTGTGTGTGTGTGTGTGTGTGTGTGTGCCTGCGGGCGCTGTGCGAGCCGCCCTGAACGACCACAATGTTGAGCGCGCTCGAGCACCGAAGCACCGCGAGCGCCGGCGAGCACCACCGCCCCGCGCCTTGGCGTGGGTCGGTAGTACACGATGCGGCGCCCAGCAGCTCTATCATGCGTCGCACCCGCAGTGGCCAAGCCGACCGCCGCTCGAACTGGCGCCGAGTGGCTCCCAGATCGAGCGCGGCAGGCTCAGTCGCACCGTCGCGGGGCGAACGCGAACCGAGCCGTCGCCGTTCGCCGCAGCCGCCAGCCGCCAGCCGTCAGCCGTACAGCCGTACAGCCGTCAGCCGTCAGCTCGCAGTCGCCGTCGCTGCCGCCGCCGCAGCAGCAGTGAGCGAGCTCCTGCGTCGTGTTGCCGACGCAGTGTGGACGCGCGCCGCCCAGCGGCGAGCGAGCGTGCTCGGAGTTGGGTCGGCGCGCGCGCGGGCGGACGGCGCCTGTAAACAGACAGCCTGCCCGCCCACTCGTTCAAAATGTCTTCAGGTTTGTCGCCCAGGCTGGGAGCTTCTCAGGCGTCGTTTTCTTTTTTCTGAGTCAAGAAATGGCCGCCCAGCGCCTGGAGTGCCCCGTCTGTCTTGAGGTGCAGGACGGGCAGCAGCACCAGTGCCGGGAGGGCCACGTCTTCTGCGCCTCCTGCGACACCAACCTGCGAGCCCCGCGCCGCTGCCCCGAGTGCCGCATGGCTCTCGGACCGCTGAGCCAGGCCATCCGAAACAGAAGCCACGAGGAGCGGATCGCGGCGCTGCCGGCGGCGTGTTCGCACTGCGGGGTGGCGACGACCCGCGGCGAACTCGCCGCCCACGAGCAAGGCTGCCCGCAGCGGCCGCGCGCGTGCGCCGCGGCGGAGGCTGGCTGCGCGTGGTCGGGGCTGCTGGCAGACAAGGCGGCGCACGAGGCGACGTGCCCCTTCGCCGTGTGCCAGCGCATGATGGCGCCGCTGCGAGACCAAGTGGCGGCACAGTGTGCGGAGAACGAGCGGCTGCAGGCCCAGATGGCGCCGCTGCAGACCGAGGTGGCAGAACTGCGGACGGAGAACTCACAGCTGCGGTCGCGCATTAGGCGCTGAGGCGGGCGAGGGCGGC